CGCGTGGGGGGAGGTGCCGTCCCGTCGCCGCTCCCTTGAGGTGGAGCAGGAGCGAGACCCTCCTCACGCCCCATCCGGCGGCGTTGGACGCCTGCAGGGGCCGCCCGGGGGCGGGTCCCACTGGTTGGCGAGGCCTCGTGGCCAGCGGAGGGAAATCACCGCCGGACCCAAAGGAGGAAGTGAGTAGGCGTCGGCTTGCTTTTGAGCAGGGATCATGGAGACGCAGCGAGTGCTGCAGTACATCGGGGTCACTCGGCAGCGCTTTTTGCAGGACATCTATCCCCTGGTGGGTGAAACTCGGAGGCTCAAACGCTGTCTTTCGGATCGTTTGTAAACAACGTGGCAAAGACATGTAGGATAATTGGTTTAGTGGCGAAGGGGCTGGTCTAGAAACCAGGAGACTCTGAGTTCTGGGCCTGGTCGTAAGTCGAGGACTATTTTTCGTTACATCAAGTTTGTTTCTTAATAAATTAATATAACCTGTATGCATTTTTTTAAACAGTCAATTCTGTTTCGCCTTTAATACTTAGACTTGCTGCTAAGTTCTTCCAATACTTTGTTTGCTGTCTCTTTATTAGATGTATTGAAAAACAAACCTAATTAGAGTATTGATTTGAATTAACAAGGTTCAGCTGGACTGTAGCCTTAGATACATTTATTTAGAAGTTACAATCTTGGGGACTTGCTTCAAAGTAGTTGTGCTAAGAATTAGGTTGCATATAGCTCTGTAAACTGTAGACTAATCCAGTACTGTATTGTAGGTTGTTCATTATTGCTTATCCTGTCATTAGAATAAGGATGAGTATGATGTATTTCACTAAAGCATGCTCTGATAGAAAAATAATAAAAGTTACAAATATAGATGAAGTTCATTTTAATGGTTACACAATCAATATCTTAGTGGAAGATTCATTTAATTAAAATACTTATGTAAGAATAGGTATGTAATTTTATTTATTAGCTTGTTGTTTGGTTTCTCATAACTACTGGTAAGGTTTGGATGGTCAGTAGTATAAGATAGTTCATAGGCTTTTGTTTGTTTCTAACCATGATATAAACTGATGACATGTGCATTTTGAAGTAACAGCACAAGCTCCAGCCTTTTGGATTTGCATCATGATGTTACATGAAATCCTAAAGGATGGAGTTTTCATCACAACGCATGTTTTATCACTTGCCCTCTTCCCATGAGTGCCTTGAAAAAATAGCAAAATGCCAGCATGTTGTGCAGTAACTTTTTTTTTTTTTTTTCATTCTCAGAGAAAGCCTGCAGTACTGAAAGGAATAGATCTGGGCCCTTGTATGACCAAATGGACAGTAGATTACCTCTGTCAAGCATCAGGGAATAAAGAAGTAAAGATTCATGTTTCCACTGTGCCACAGATGAACTTCCTTAGTAAGAACTTTGTATATAGGTATTCTGTTCCAAGCTTTACTCTGTTTCTGTAAGTGGGAACTCGTAGCACCCCAGATGTTGCTGTTCTGGTTAGACGTAGACTGCTGTCACATGCCATGCTTAGCTCAAAACAAACTACAGATGTGTCATTTGGGAAGAGGAACAAGCAGCTCTAGAACTATTTGCATTAAGAAGGCTTCTGGCTTGGTTTAGCCTTTCCCAATGTAGATAATACAGATTTCTGTACTGTCAATCCATTTACACATTTTCACAATGGCTGATTTGCAGGGTTTGTGTGTGTGTGAACTGTTGAAACTTTTTTTCTAAGACTTAATTTTTACATTCTCCCACCTGCCTCTTACACAAGCTTACTTGTTTTCCCATGGCAGTGAATAATTGTGCTGCCTTAACTAATGAACCAGAAAGGGTGGTGTAATCCCCAATGTTCAGTTCATCCAATTATTATTTGTCTATGAAATTCCTACACTATTTTCTATGGCTCTCTTTTTCATGCCTCATTCGGTCACCCATTCCAAGTACAACAGGTTCACAGTGTACTCTAACTTACAGTTTGGACTTATCCACATAAAGAATATGAAAGCAGTTCTGCATACTACTACAAATGTGAATGAAAATCACAAGATGATTTTGGATCAAGTATTTGCAATTGTATTGAAATTGGTGGGAGTAATAGCCAGTGTCTGTATGAGAAAGTCCTTGGAAATAAAGTAATCAGTTTCAATGTGAAATATATTTTGCTGAGATTACTGTGACAATTTTCTGACATGAGGGGAGAGGGGATCCAACTGTCTCTCCACATCTTTAGGAGCACTTCTTCAGTGCAGTTCCTTCTAGGAGTTTCCCGCTATTGAGATGGGGGAGGGAAAATGATTTTCCCTAGTTCCTGATTCCCTCTGCAGCCCCCAGCATCACCACCTGCATTTTTCTGGAGGTCCACCAGTCTTCTGGAATACATTTTGGGAGGCATGTAGGGCAGGAGACAGGAGGAGGAATTGTTGAAGATTCTATTCCTAATTCTGCCAATGGAAATGCTTCACTAGAATTAGAAGCCCTTAGTTGACTAGAAGGATTGAACCTATTTATATGGCAGTCAGCACAAATTTACCAATAATTGACCCATGGTAAATAATTTTCAAGCCTATCCTAAGTCTGTTTCTGGAAGTCAGTTTTATTGATATCAGTGGAATTTAAATTCTAGTAAGAATATTAGGGTATCAACCTTAAACAACTGTTCCTAATTGTATTTTTTCTTTCTTCATTCAATCAAAGTAAATGTTTTGAGGTAATTATTGTTAAAAGTCAGTCCCATCTATGTAAAACATTTTGATAATCTTATTTTTATTTTGAATTTCAGAACATTGCCTTTTGATGTATTTGTAAAGAGAGCAGCTGAAATCAAACATTCAGATTATTTTCTTTCTGAGGTAATGTATTTACTTACTAATACTTTAGCTGAGCTGATTTTTTTTTTGTTGTTTAGGTTCTTTTTCAGTTATGAGATTACATGGAACTTGACAAGCTAAATCAATTAAATACTCATGTACTTATTCAGTGCAATTTATTTTCCACATGTTTGTATTTTTAAGGATGAAAAGTATTATTTACGATCACTGGGAGAAGACCCCCGGAAGGTGAGTATATGGTATAAGATAAATGCTCATCTTAAAAATGTTAGTTCTCCTCTGAGAGCTATGCTAGATAACCCTTATATAAGTTCTGTCCTTAGCTTATGCTTTTTTACTATGTCCATTTAAAATAGAGGGAATGGAGGATCATAAAGCTGATAGAGAGAAGCATTGGCTGGTTCTTTTGAAGAGATTTGGAGAAGGTGATATCACTGTTAATTCCTGGGACAGACAAGGAAATGGATGCTCTTGCAAAAAGAGTTTTATTCTATCCTGCAACTCCCTGACTAGTGGTTTGGAGAGAGATTTGAAAAACAGTGTTAAACTGTACTGTTCATAGAGGTTCTGAGCCAAATGTTTCCTTTGTTTCCCCTTGTTAACTTCAGCAATTCTATACTAAAACTGTTCCTAACATATTCATACCTTTTCTGTTCCTTTGCTGAAACAAACTCCCAATTTCTTTAGATCTGGAACCAAAAGTAGGATTTGAAGTGTAATATAGCGATACTTATATGTATCACATTATGCCTTATTTGAACTCTCTCAATCCAAGTATGAATAAACCTGATGGATGGCCTGGAAACTTGGCTTGTTCTAAATGCCTTATTGACAGCCCGAGATAATCAACATCTCTTGAATGGAAGAGATTTTGCAATTCACAGGGGAGGAAATCTTAGCAGACCTACAACTATGGGCTAAGGTCTTCTGTCTTTCTGCAACATCCTAATAATGCTTTTCCTCTTCCGGAGGTTTTCAGTATAATTGGATTCCTACATCACACTAAGCCATAGTATCATTGGTTTACTTTTGGCTTCATGTGCTATATGAACCCAACTATTATGATTTCTAAATGCTGTTTTATGGGTTAGCATAATTTGCAACTCCAGCCAAGATAAATATTTTTGTTTCAGGATATTGCAGATTTGAGAAATCAGTTTCCTTTATTGGCAGATGACATTCAAATCCCAGAATACTTTGAAAAGGAGCAGTTCTTCTCCACTGTCTTCCGCATAAGTTCAGAAGGTCTACAGCTTTGGACACATTATGATGTAAATAATATATTCCTAAATATTTATTAATGAAGAGTATGCTAAGCTCATTTTGACCTTTATGAGAAGAGGATTTTGTGTTGTTTTCTTGAAGAATATTTAAAAGGAACACTCTAGGTGTTAGACTACGTCAGGACTTTCAGACTTCTTTTTCTAAATCAAGATTACATATGTATCTATATACATGTGTGTGTGTGTGTTTATATCTTTACAGAGGTAAAGATATAAAGACAGACAATGAGAGATGGTTATTTTACTCTTATAATATGAAAAATTGTCTTAATTTAATGTGCATGCATTTTCTTTTATTAACAGAGAATCTCCTATTCACATAGGAAAAGGGCAAGAGAGTGAAGGTTCATGATCTGACATGGTTTTCAGAGTCATTGTAAATGACTATTACTGCTAATTTGATAGCTCTAATTTATTATAGCTGCAACAGTATTGAAATTCTTATCTGGTCACACACTCAGTAATACTTATTGTTTCCACATTTGTAGGTAATGGATAACTTCTTAATTCAGGTGACAGGAAAGAAACGAATTGTACTGTTCAGCCCCCGTGATGCACCATATTTATATTTATCAGGTGTGTTTGTGTATGCTACCTAGTTTAAAAGCAGATACCTTACTACATAAGGACTGAAGAACACTCCTGGTACATGAGATCACATTTCCATTAGTTGTAGTGTTTCAGTTCCCACTTTGGTTGCTCAGATATCTTTAGGATGCCCTTGGACAATTTCTCTCCTGTTCTTTGATCCAAAGTGACAGACAAACTCAGTTTTGTACTGCTTTTGAAACCTGGATCATATTTAGTAGTAGTCACTAGACTGTCTTTCATACATTTGGCATAAACCCTTTTTACAATCACCTCATCTATAACATTTACCTTACATTGTATACAATGGGTTTTTTTTTTTGTCTCCAGTGTATTGTTAATAACATTGGATAATCCCAAATTCTGTTGTTGAATATAAATACATTCTATTTTGTCTGCTGTGCCTGTTTTTTTTAGAAACCTTTATTGAGACTTCCCTTAATCTGTTTGTCATTTTTCCTCATGTGGAAACTTTAAAGTTCTTTCATAATCTTGGTTATCCTTTTGTCTTCCAGCATAACCTTGATTTTTGACCAGGATACATACATCGTAAATTTGTACACAGACATTCCATTACTGGAACTTTTACTTTTAGTCCCTTTCCTATAATCTTGGGCATGTAATTTGCCTTTCTTATAGCTCCAACATCACCTTAAGATCATCTTCTTGATTAAGCACAGTCTCATTGTGACTACATAACAATTAATAAAATAAAATATTAAACATTAAAACTGCAGGACATTTTTCATAATCTATGTGGGTTTTCTATCATCCTGAATAACATAAGTGTCATTGATCATGTCACTACTCATTCCTAGCACCAGATATGATATGAAAAATAATAGCCCCAATACATTCTTGGGTAGAATCTTATTTTCCAGTATTGTAAAACCGTTCATTTTATCCTTATTGCTCACTTTAATAGATTATTGACCTGTGAAGTTAGCTGCCTTGTAATTTCCTGGATGCCATTTGAAAAATAGCATTGCTGATTTATTGTGGTGTATAATATTCTTTTTAAATAAAGCCATCCTGTGGTGTTGCCTATAACCTTTAAATAAACACAAAATAAAAAGGAAAAATGAAGCAAATGAAACAAATGAAACAAAACACAGCCCTTTTCACCCACTAAACTAGCTAACTAGAGTAGGCAGTTGCTAATGAGATGCAAATTGCTAAAGATCAGTTGACAGTTGCTCTGGACTATCTGCATTCTAGATGAGACTGAAGAGCAGACTTGTTGTTTGCTTATATATGTGGTTTATTTCCAAACTTGATAATCACTGAATAAAGAAGAGCTATTGTGGGATGAAATAGTATGGTTAATGCCTGTGAACAATTAAACACTAGTGTTTCTGAGATTACAGGGAAAGAATATCCCATTTGGTTTAATAAAGACTTACACTTAAATTGCACCATACTGTAGTTAAATTTGATGTAGTAGCATTTGATAGCTTGAAAGAGTACAGAAATGGAAAAACATTGTTTTGGCAGCCCAATACCCAATTCGAGACACATAGTATTTTATGTGTGTATATACACTCATTCAAGCAGTTTTTTTCTCTTGCATGTCTCCCAAATGGGAGGCCTAAATATTATGCTGGTAGCTTTAAAACTAATCCAGTTTAGTAGAAGCATTGTCATTGATTGTTCATTGAAATCTTCATTAGGCACAAAATCAGAGGTGCTAGATGTGGATAAACCAGACATGAAGAAATACCCTCTCTTTATTAAGGCCAGACGTTATGAATGTCAGCTGGAAGCAGGAGATGTCTTATTCATTCCTGGTAAGAAAACCTACAACAAATTCAGCTATTTTCTTTCTTGTTTTAAAGGACTGTAGGAAGGCTGTCTACTCTGCATAACCAAATACTTAATGGGGTCCACATTAATTTAAGACCAAGCTCTAACTAATAAAACCTCTAATATTTAACGGTATCATAGGTTGTGGTTTTTTTTAAATAAGTGAAAAAACTAAAAAAAATGAATGTGTCTTTAAATGCTGAACAGTCTTAGCACAAAATTATGTTACCTTAGTCTTTATCTAGTGCAAAATTAACTGATGGTGTCTATAACAAACAAATTAATTCTGACATGTGTAAGAAAAAGCAGTAGAAATTGGGAAAAGACAGGCAATACTGACATATTAAACGATTACAACAAATTTAGCCCATGAATCTGATTACATTTATGGGACTGCATTACTATTTTAAAAATGAATGTAGTAACATAATTAATATATGTCCTAGTCAATGTTAATATACTCCATTTATTTTAGGAATATGATCCCCTGCTTGTAACATTCTATGCAGGATGAGGGTGAGACTCTACTTGGCTTGTGTCATAATCCAATATAAGATTAAATGTCAAAGAGGGGACATTTAATCTTATATAGCCAACCAAGATACAATTGGGAGGTGATTCAAATCAGGGGAAGCATCCCTTTGGGCCCTGGCAGAGAGAGGAGTAAAAGCAGCTTTTATATGGATAGGCTGAACCATACCCTCATTCTTAGTTACACTGTTCTGGACCCTGTAAGAGGAAAGCTGTGTTAGTCTATGGTAGCCAAAATCATGAGCCGAAAAGTGTATATCTTTTAACAAAACGTTAGTCTGAAAAGACGCCACCAGACTCCTCATTTTTTACTCTGCACATTTAAATTCCTGTCAGACCCATTACATGATTGAGCTAGATCCAAAGGAGACTGCAAGTTTATCACATCCATTTTATATATTAAAATCTTCCAGATAATGTAAGAATTTGGGTTTCTTCCAAACCTACATGGCTGTTCCTTCATCTGAAGCTATTTTTAGCAACTTGGCTTGGGTACTAAGTATACCAGCTGGATTGGTCCGTGGTCCTTTGGAGAGCAGATGTAATCTCTTCTTTATCAAATTTAGATTTAATCAAATGAGTTGATTACTGTAGTTCAGAGGAATGCTGTTTGAATTAGAATAAAGTGCCTCATACATAAAAAGTAACAGTTCATACTAGCTCTCTGCTCATTTGAAAGCTCTTGGCATAACCACCATTGACAGGTCAATTTTTAGTTCTTTCAAGGAATCAATATATGACCAGGTTGGACACTAACTAGATCTGCACATCTAGTACAGCTAATGACAGCATTTGTAGTTGCTAGATGTCTGCTCCTTAGAGGTATAAGTCTCCTCAAACCTCAAAAGTGGTAAGCGTACATGAGGCAGGAAATAAAGAGGGAAAGCAAACACAATGTTAGGGGTAGATTCTTGAAGCTGTATTCTGGATGCCACTTGAATCTAAATTAGTTGTTCCTTTAGGTGAAATGGGATAGTGATGATTTTCATGGATTACAGGTAGTCCCCAGTTTAAGAATAAGTTCTGTTCCTAAAGCCTGTCCTTAAGTTGATTTGTATGTAAGCTGGAACAGTATTATTGCATAACACTGTATAAATAGTATTGTGTAATTAACTTGAACATTGTGTATTTAATTCAAATTTCGCTACAGTAGGCTCTGTTCTTAACTATGGGTCGTCTGTAAACTAGGCATTCTTATCCCGGGGACTACCTGTACCCTTACTTTCTCTGCCTCTCTTCCCAATTGTTTTTAACTATAAGGGACTTTCAGAACAGTTTGGCATGTGCAGCTGAAGAATCAGCAAAACTGGCTTCAACTTCCATTGACTGGAATGCCTGGTTAGTACAGGGGGTCTTCCACCAGCTATAACTCACTACTTCAAATTTCTTATGTTTGTAGAACAGTGGTCCAAATTTAACCTAAAGGACCTATAGTCCCAAGTATATCTTAAGAAAAATCTTCCAATCTTCAATTTACAGAAACATATGTACACAAGACTGAACGATCTTGCTTTCTTTGCCAAGCTGTCACTGCAAAACAATTACTCTTGGAAACTGGAAATCAAAGAATCTTTCAGTAAATATTGTAGTATGTGTAAAATATGTTTTAAGACTTTCTCTCCTCTCAGCTTTGTGGTTCCATAATGTGACTTCTGAGGAATTTGGAGTTGGAGTCAATGTTTTCTGGAAGCAGCTTCCTTCTGAATGCTATGATAAAACAGACCCCTATGGAAACAAAGATCTCACTGCAGCCTCAAGAGCAATACAGATTTTGGATAGAGCACTGAAAACCCTGGAAGAACTTCCTGAGGAATACAGAGACTTCTATGGTCGGAGAATGGTATTACGCATCCAAGAAAAAACTTATAGCAGTAATTATGAATAAAGAACATTTTTGAATACTAACAGTTGTTCTTACAAACATGCATTAAAATGTCTCTTGTGAACCAATGAATAGGGTGGCCACTAGTATATATACCATTTAAGCCAGAGAACACAAGCCATTTTTGAAAACATACTGCTAAAATGTCAGTATTGTTTATGAACAGAATGTAAGGGGATGCTAAGGAGATATAAACCATAGGATTATACATCAATCTGGATTTGAAGGAGTGATGTGCACACCTAACGCTATTGGCACATCCTTTAATTAAATGTGTTTTCCAAGAAGCCCAGAAAAGACATAATTTTTAAGGAGTTGCAGACAGGTCTATTGAGTTTGGAGTTAACAAACTGTGAAGGTGGTATAACAATCTCTTCAGTGCTTATTTTTTAATTTACTCTGTAGTTATACCTTGAACAGGTGTAAAAAACTTCACATAAGAAACTTTTCTTATAGAAATGGCAGGATATGGTTTTGACTAGTTTGCAGCATACTGCTTTTCAGCAGAGTACATATTTAAGTTGTCTGCAAAGAGTTGTGCTGTTATCTGAAACTTTCACGTAAATATGTAACAATCTAATGAATAAAAAGTATGTAATATTGGCTGTGCAAAACATTTCATAATAGTCACTGTTAATTGGTCTGTGTCCAGATCAAAATATACTTGTTTGGTCTGGGAAGAGACCTAGAACTTGTGTGTTCCAGATGTGTTTCATGATGAGTAGAGAGAGAGAAGCAAGGCCATTGGTGGCAGCGCATGGCAACTAAGGAGAGATAGGAAAAAGGTGGCACTGGGAAGATTAAGGATAGGGACAAGTGTATCAATCAATTGGATACAGCACTTTAATACAAGGGAATATTTATTTTTGTTTGTTTGAATTATAGAGCTGGCCATCTTACACAGCAGATGGGAACTTTCCCTTAGCCACTGCCCTTGAATTTAAGTATGGCATATCCAGCCAAACTGCCTGCCCCTTTGTGATTCTTCCTGGTGCCTAGCACTTGAACTCAAGGTTGATGGCTGTATGGAGAGTATGAAAGGAAGGATGAAAGAAAGGATCACAGATAATGTGGAGGAGGGGGCAGAGGGGCAAACACACTATATGTATTATGTCAGGAAAACACATCTATTTCAAACACATCCCTAACCTTAACTGCTTTTTATCCAAAGGGATGCTGGGGAAACGTTTTATTATGGAGGTTTGGAGACATATTGATTATAACCAAACATATTCTATCTAGATAGTCTTTTCTAAAATCTGAACTGTAAAGATGTGCCAATATCAATACAACCTAGGCTACTGACTGGAAGAAAAATGTGCAACCATAAAAGTTACTTATTTCTTCACACTTAGCTAGAAAAATAATTTAGAGTTTAAAAATAGATGCTTACTCTAAATTACTTGACCTCAAAGATTAGTACTGAACAATGTACACTTTGCAGTTTAACAAATATCAAAACATTTTATTGAACTGAATACTTTTTTTAAAAAAAGTTAATCTGTCTTTGATACTATACTACTTTCATTTTTCTTATCCAATAGTCTTCCAATTCTCTGTAGAAACCAGAGTAACTAGCTTAGTTCCATTCAGGAAAATTATTTAAACATCTACTGTAAGAACAACAAAATGGTTATTCATAAAACCAGCTTTGAAAGGTAAGCAAGAGTTTGTCATACTGAAAACATTTATTGGCACAGAAAATTTATACTATGACACAGTTAATGAGCTGTATTGAAGGCATGCAATATACTATTCCCCTCATTTCAGTCCCAAATCTTTCTCAGTCCCCAAGAACAAATTTGGGAAACAGGGAAGAACTTTACTGCTAGATGTGATTCCATCAGTAAATAGACATAATGTCCTAGGTGCAGATGGAATAAAATTATTTTTCTCCAGAATACTGTAAGACTCACCTACTCTGCTGGCATCTTCTAACTTCTGTTGTGAAGCGATATGTCAATAGTACTTATTAAAAGCTGGATATTTTGGTTGTAGACTACTAATTTTGGGATGACTGAATTACCAGCAGTTCATTATTTTTTAAAGCGTGGACTAAAAAGTAAAAACCTTGCTTAAAAATGTATCTCAAAGTGCAACAAAAAAATCTGACTGGAATGTGTGAAAAGCAAAAATGCCTGCATTTTGGCCTTACCTAACACCTTGGCTTTCCCACTTACTTCTATGTGTACATCCCTTTGTAAAATACTCCTGAAGCGAGGTGATTAAATAAAGGGTCAGTGTACAACACCTCAAGTGCCCAGAGTGAATGATTGGATCAGGACAAATGTCCATTTCACATTCATACTGATGTATCAAACTTGCATCCTCTCTGTACAGAAGATGAGATAGCATCCAAGCCTATGCTAAAGGACTATTGCTAACAAAACACGACTTTCTTTTCCTCACAGCTCTCGTGACACTCAAATCTGCTTCAGAGGGTTTATAGACACTAGAGGAGCAAAAATGGCTTCCATGATGCAAGCTTACCATTAAATTCCACCCATTATAACTATTATAGTAGTTCTATAACTTACTCATGCTCAAAAACTGTAGCCTACACAATGGATAGTAAGCAGGCAGTGCTTGCACTCTTGCAAATAAGGATCTCCATTTGTATTGATTCTCCCACCTTAACTTTCTGTCCCACTTAAAATAATTACTCTTGAAAGGTGCCTCCTTGCAAAACACAGGATGGAATGATGGTATGGAGAATTGAGAGGGATATTCAGTGAAAATTAGATTATCAAACTCTTTTCTGTTAAAGCAAAAAATTGGACACAGCCTGTGATTCTTAACAAAGAAAGTAAAAAGGCTTTCTAGCAATTGTTCTAGTTTTCTATCTCAACAATATTAATTTTGTTCATTAAAGTTTTAAAGAATCCTATTGTGTTACAATTCCTTTGAAATTCAGCTGAATTCTGTATCTTCCAAATTCCATTTTCAGATAGTGTTCTGGTTTGTAGTTAAGTTCCAAACAATGTATAAAAATGCTGATCAATTGCACTGCTGCCTTAGCAACTGCTTTAAATTAATTTTTAACTACAGAAACACCAAAATGGTTTACACTGTAGTGATCCTTCTCTCACAGAATTGCTGTTTTATAGAGAATGCTACTTAATGTTCCTATTACAAATAATGAATAACTGTATTATGACCATTACTAAAATAGATGTACTACCATTTTTCCAAAATGTATAGTATTAGCATCATGTAGATACATGGGTTGATGTTCAGCAAAGTAACGATCACAGTTGTTATAAAAGTTCTAACAGTCTCAAGATATAAAAGCTCAAAACTGTATTAAGAGTTAGTCAAGCTTCACCATTAATATGGAATGTTGAACCAGAGTGAGATTATACATTTTTGGTCTCACACACAAAAAGATGTTTAATACTCTTTCAATCCCCCCCAGAAATAAAATAAACACATTTGTAGATGCTTGCAATGGTTAGAAACTGCAGGGCACCTCTGATACAACAGTATAGTAGTTATTCACCTTATTCCCAAGGTTAATATATACTCATTGCAATAAAGATAAATAGTGTCAAAATAACCATTGTACTGCATTGCTAGTGCTAAAGTACTAAATAATGTTTAGAATAGCTTTGATATTCTAATTACTATCCCATCTAATTATTCAAAAACACTTAAAACTTCAATTTCATCTAATTAGAACAATTTGAAGATGCTGTTTTTATACCTGGACTTGAAAGTTTTAGTCATTATGATTCTAACTAAATAAACTTTCCCTCTAACATTAATCTGAATTAGTTTTTGTTTTGCTCTGAAACTGGTGTTCCTCAGGAATAGTACTGCCTTGTTCAGATCAAAAGCTGGAGCTTCCTGGTGACTTCAGTTACAAGCAGTAGGCTCTAATCAACATTCATCTTAGAAAGCATATATTGTATTTCCTCTTCCAAGTGTTAAGAAAACATATTCTTAAACTTGAAGTTTAAGATCTATTTTGCAACTACAGTATACTGGTATATTAAAATGTCAAAATACTTCATGCACTTTGAAGTGATTGTCCAAAGAAGGTGCTTCATCAGCAAAATGAAGCTGGCTATTTATATTTGCACCAAACTCTTCAAGAAGTTGTACAAATCTCTTGTGCTCTTTTCCAATCCATGTTCTCATTGTATCAAATACCTGATATGGTGTGACATGAGCATTAACTGAAATTCCAGTCTGTGAAAAATCATTCAGCACATGAGGGTAGGTTACCCAAGTATTACTTCCTCCAGAATGACCACCATCCAACCAGTACATAGCTCTTATATTTTGTATAAAAGCATCTATATCCTTGTCCTTTTTTGCTTCTTTCAGTTCATGAAGTAATTGATTCAAGACAACACAGCCTTTACTGAATCCTATTAATGTGAATGAAGCTCCACCAATAGCAGAAGGCTCATTAAAGCTCATAGTAGAATTGCTAAAATATTCACAGTGTCTCTCTGCTGCTGGGCAACCGTTACTAGTAGCAACAGTAGGTAATTCACAAACTGCTTTTGCATCATCGCTGAAATCATACATGCTTCTCTGAGACAGCAAAAATTTTTGAGCAAGTTTAAATGCATTAATTAGCAGGGCATGAAGGTGTCTGAAGGCTCCAAAGTCAGTACTATGTTCAGGTGCTCCAAACAAATTGCTTGCCACAAAATTGTCATAGCAGCTAAACTTGTGCAAATGCATACGGGAACATTTTATAATCCAAATGTAACTGCCTGGAAAACGATGACCAAGAATAATTGCAACATTTTCTAAGCACCATTGTTTCCACTGGAAGTTCTCTGGATGGCAAGCCATAATTTCATGATAGTTCTGAAATGAAATAGATAAAGAATCACTATTTTATAAGAAACTTAGGAAAAATGCAGGTCACATGCACTTATAAAACAAGCACTTATTAACAGAGTAGAAAGAACATATATTTGTTCCTAATAAAACTACAGGAACGCATGCATTTGAAAAGAATACAGCTCCCCGTTCAAGATATTCCAGCCAACTGTAACTTATCTGATTTTCCTGAATATTTTAAACGCCATCAATCCCTTTAAAGCTAAAATGACTTAGGATATGTTCCAACAGTGCTTGAATTTGTTACAAAGTACTCTGGAGTTTGGGTGGATATACAGCATCCCTGCCTCAACACCGACTTAAAAAGTGGGGACAAATACCCTCTATTTCAATTTTCATCTTAGGAAGCGGAAATTCTCATTAATTTCTCTACAATGATTGATATGAAGATTCTTAGACCTTCCATTATGTCTTAGCCTTTTCTGAACTAGGTTTTGCCTACTCTTGATTTCAGTTGACTTAATTAAGCCTGATTAATTTTGCTGAGCTGTAACTATGGTAGCTGTATGGTCTTTTTTCCTGCCACCCGTTTACACACAGAGAAAATCCCACAACCAGCACAGGGATAAGAGCCTCACTCCTTTTACCATGGAACAAGAACAAATAAAGGACACCATGGGAAAGCTCTTTTGGTCCATAAATGACACTAACAACCTAGAGGATCAGTCAAGATCCCTGGTGCTTACAGCTCTACTTCTATTTATGTAAGATTTGCATAAGATATCTATGGACTCCATTAAAAAAACCCAAATAAACCCTAAGATATGCATCCAATATATATCTTAAGATTTTCACTTTCAGGAGCATCTACAGAGGTATATCTATAAAGCTGTGGAATGGTAGAAAACGATAAAAAAAAAAAGTGCCAGTCATGGCCTAAAAAAGAGGCCATGGCTTCTTCTGATGACACCCCCCGATTTAACACCGGGCAATTCATTCATGAATTCCTCTCCCTTTGGAGCTTTGAATTTCCATTCCAAATTCTGAATTTTACCCACTAAAGCACAAGTCACGCTGCAACAGGGAAGTCCTAGGGAGCAACCCCGCGTCTGTCTACCCAAAAGCAGCTCCCTCCCGTTGCATTTCCTGGGTCGCCTTACTCCTCCGCATCTTTGCTCAGAATCGGGACTGCGGCGTTCACGGCTCAGGCACCCCCATCGCCGTTCTCCGAGCCCTGCTTTACTCCACCCATGCTCTGCGTCCGCACGCCCCGCTGAACCACAAACTAGCCAGCCACACGGGCTGGAGTCACCCACCCCGCGAGCCCAGGATGCGGCGGACTCCCCTGCGTCGCGTTTGCTCGCGTGCTTTGCACGTCCGAAGAAAAGCCGCTCGCGGGCGCCCGCCTCCTACCTGCACGTCCCCCGGGAAGTAAAGGACGTGATGCTGAGACGGCTCCGGCGCCGGGGCAGAGAGGGGCAGGTGCAGCAGCACGTCATTGGCTTTGAAGGGCTCGGCGCCTGGCACCTCCGACAGCCGCAGCAGCTTCGGTCGGGGCGAGGAAGTCGAGGGCAGAGAGAAGGCGCTGCCTCCGCTGCCTCCTTCTTCAGAGCCCGTCCTGCCGCTGCCCGAGGGCCCCGACAGGTAGGCAGCCGGACTGCCACGGAGGCTCATAGTCCGCGTCAGGCAGAGGAAAACGGAGCCGAGAAGTCCCCTCACGACCGAGGCGGCAGGTAGACAACACCTGCTCATGGAGGCTCTAACGTTCTGCCCCCCGCGCGCTCAGCCAGGCCCCCAAGGTCTCCCTCGGCCCAAACAAACCCGCCAACCAATCGACGGGCCCGGCCTGCCCACACCTCCGAGGCGGCGTACGGACGAGTGCGCACGCGCCTTTGGGCGGCGAGAGGCGGGGCTTTCCCTGGCGGAGAGGCGGCAAGAGAGTTCTGATTGGTCGGTCCGACTCGCTTCTGCTGGTTGGCTGCAAGGAGGAGAGCGGGAAACTGAAAAAGAAAAGGCGGAGCTTGAAGAGAGGCAGAGTGTTACTAACGGAGGAGCGTGGGTGAAAATGTTTCAATAGGTCATTATAGTATAAATGTGATTGATTAATGCCTTCCTTACCATAAAGCAGGGTTCTCCAAAGTGGTCAATATTGTTATTGTTTTATTATTTGTAGTACTATTAGTTAAAGTAAGTATGAAATAATTTTCATATGGGGGTTGATGAACAATCCAAAACTTAATGAAGGGGTGGATGAGTGAAAGAGTTTAGGGGCCCCTCCTATAAAGGTATAAGAATCATACTTGCTAATGAAATTTGTAATTGTCACTCACTTTTATAAGTGATAGATTATTTTTCATTTTGCCACTCAGATCCTTCAAATACTAACCTGGTTCACACATTTTATCAAGCCATGGTTGATTCATTTTTTTCAATGATGGCTTCCTAAATTACAATGGTTGTGTTCACCTAACACTCAAGTCAAACAGATTATATTGTGGCTGGCTTTGTAACAAATTTGTAGCCTGGTGTGTTATTCATAATGTTTATGATTCATTGTGTTGTATGAGCTTAACAAATTGAGTTTATTCAGGAAACTAAGATTAAGTAAACCAATAGCAAATGTGTGATGGGTGAACACAGCCTTTATGAGTTGTGCGTTCAACTGTTTCAGACTTGTTTAACTGGTCTACCAATTGCTGATCTAGAAACGAGGCATTGGCCTTGATTGCTGGACTTGCAAACCATGATTTGCTCAATGAACTTTTCTGGATTTACAGTTTGTATTGAATCCTAAACCAACATTTTGGGCTGGTTTTGTCCAACACACTAGTCTAAAATGTGTTTGGCTTGTTTGTGGTTTATTATTTTATATGCAGTATGACAAGGACTTCTGGGCCACTGCATTTTTTTAAGTGTTTGAGAGGAGAGAAATAGAGGTTGTTTAAGATCCAGGCCTTAAATCATGGGCTCTCCCATCTGGGTCCTTCCTGCATTTTCCTCTCTAGTGATCTTTACTGACTTCAGCAGGAGTCTTTTAGGTCACTTATTTTGCAGGTCTAATGTTATTCTGCTAGCATGAATTGAAGTTCTAGTGGGCTTAAAGCAGGTAACCATGAAGTTTTCTGAGTTACTAAAAATAAGTAAAACCTGAGTTCAGTGCCCTCATTGAACTCCATTCCAGGTGTCTTCTGAGCAAGGCTGCCCTTTAATTAAGAATAGAATCACCCCTCTAATACTTAACTGAAGAGGTGAGTGCTAACAGCTAAGTATTTAAAACAAACTATTGAGAAAGACATACTGTTATGTTCAAAGAAACCTGCCTATCACAACCCACCCATATAAGTCATCATAAACAAAATCTGAAGGGCATAAACTACACAAAATAATGCATTGGGAAATAACACAGTAGGCCCCAAAGTTACAGGAAGCTGAATGTTCATCGATTTTTTAAAAATTGGGGATGGAAGGAAAGGATGTATCCTAGAGGGAATGACTGTCTAGAATGGGAGCACTTTGGCTGATAAGTGAGGATAGATGGTACTATTTTAAACATTTTCTTCCAGAACAATTTCAACCCCATTTTTGCCCTTTGTGATAGCAATATTCTGTTGAAATAAGCATGCTATTTTGTTTGCATGCAACGAAGCTGGTGCAATGAAGCTTAAACTTAACCTTCCTTAACTGCCAAAAAGTGTTAATTTTTACCATGAAAAGGCACATTAATAATATATTTTACTGGAATTTCTAAACTGATCACCACAAGATGGTGCTGTATGTTCTAGCCTGAATGACAAATTCACCGTTTACCATCTGGTTATTATACATTTAACATTCATAATTTCAGTGGTGGTGTAAATCAGCAAACTCTTTTGATATTTACTATAAGATTGATTTACAAAGTAAAACTGGAAAAAATTAAATCTTTTATTTTGACAACAGTTGTTTCTGTGCTGGCTCCATTTTGAGATTTCAAGTTTAGTTTCTTTAAAAAGTCTCACAATAAATATAAAAATGAGCTGCAAAAGAGGTTGATGGAAAAAGCAGTTGATTCTTCTGGGGAAAAGTGGACTGAGGTCTGGTAGTAGCAAGAATACATTTTGTGATATTGTAGGAATTCATTTGCAGATATATTGCTGTCTGTCTCTGTCTGTCTGTCTGTCTATCTATCTATCTATCTATCTATCTATCTATCTATCTATCTATCTATCTATCTATCTATCTATCTATCTATCTATCTGAAAGATATTGGGCCCACTAAGATAATAGTTAGCACCAGAATCCATTTTCAGCTCCAGTAAACCATACATCCATTTATCTGAGAATAAAGGATGAGGAATGGTTTTTGTTTGTTTTTAGTATAGATATACTGTATTTTATCAGAATACATAGAATGAATACATAGAATACCTGAACCCTGACTAGAAAGGGTCCATATAATGTGCTTCCTTCAGGGTGCTTTGTAGCTGTGAATCAACCACCCTAAAAAGGGAAAGTTGGAGACTGGACGGAAATAATTCAGAACTGTTGGATCCAAGGATGGCTTCTTGAGGAGAGGACAGACCACCGCTTCTTTCAAAGCAGATGGGACTATCTCCTCCTGGAAAGAAACTTCACCACAGCTTGGATCCAAGCACACATCACTTCCCAAGAGGCCTTCACCAGCTAGAAGAGACATGGATCTAAAGCATAGATGGCAGAACTCACAGCCCCAAGGACCTTTGTCCACTTTCTCAGGACCAACCAGGTGAAACTCTTCCCAGATAACCGAGCAAGACCATGACTCAATCAGTTCCATAGGATCTGCCCAGTCAGTCCAGCTCTAACTGGATCTGAGCAACTTTATCAATAGATGCTTATGAGAGTCCTCACAGCCTGTTTCGTCATTCTTATTGACACAAGGTAAGTCTTAATAAAGGTTCTTACCTGTGCTTGATCAGATTTGCTTTTTGTCTTTCCCCCGGTGGTGCTTTACTCATCTCTTGTGTCTTCATCTTGCAGAATTCCTTTGAAAGCTAGGGGGCTCTCCAGGATCACAGAGAGGTTGCACAGGCATGATCCACTTGGCTATTCTGGAAGAACTTTTCTATGTTCTTTTTCATCCTTATTCACATGTTGTTATTAGGAGCATGTTCTGTTAGAAAAATACTAGTTAGAACCTTAAGAAAATTATGTCTGTCACTGGATCAGATCATGCATCAGAATCTCTATATAAGCCAATAAAGAAATACAATTTATATACCCTTTTTTTGGCTTCATGTTACCTTAAAGAAAACATGATTAGCTTTATTTGTGGTAAGTAATAGCACACATATAATGCTAATATTACTGACGACCATGGAAGAGAACTTTGTCTCAGAGAGGTTAAGGAGAGGAGATAATTTTTGTATCCTTGAGATTGGCTATCAGTTTGCAAATAGCGTGAAAATCATATCTTGCCCTTGAAACACAACTTTAACTTTATAAAGTTAAATTTTCAAGGACAGGGTGTAGTTAATTTGGTCAGGAACTGCATTCTGCACATTCTTGGTAGTATTTGTATGTTTTATATTCCACCATGGTGCTGGAAATCAACTCTGGAGACCAGAGCCTTCATGAAGCTTTGATTTGGAAGTTTTGGGCTGATCTGAACAGTATAAGCCATTTTTTATAAGACCTGGTGTCTTCCTGACATTTTGGTTTTCTGTTGTGATTTGTCATTATTTATTTTGTATTCAATTTTATAATGTATAATCTTTGCCAATGTTTTGCATGGAGACAATATATTTAAAAATACAGGTGGTCCTCGGGTTATGATTACTCATTCAGCGACTATTCAAACTTGTGATGGTGCTGAACAAGGGGGACTTATGATGGGTCCTTGGAGTTCCAGCTATTGCAGCATCCTCACGGTCACGTGATCATGATTTCTGACATTCCCTGCTGGCTTCCCACAAGCAAAGTCAATGGGGAAGCCAGCAGGAAGGCGAAAGTCGTCATGTGAGGTCCTCACTTAATGATGGCAACTGGGACTGCCGGACCTGCTGTCACTAATTGATGTAGTCACGCGACATTGTGCTTTACAACCACGTTGCTTAGTGACAGAAATTTCAGTCCTGATTGCTGTTTTAATCTGAGGACTACCTGTATTCTGTTTTTTGTGGCTGTCTGCAATTCCTTAAACCAAATGCATTTTGTCCCATGTTTATGCTATAGCCATGTGATCTCAGAAAAAGATGCAGCTGCTTTAAGAAGTTGCAGAGAGGTGCTGCATTCACAAAATACCTTTTCCCTCCAAAGTATTGTACAGCGATACCTCGGGA